CCCCCCAGGACCACACACCCCAGCCGGGACCCCCCAGGACCACACACCCCAGCCGGGACCCCCCAGGACCACACACCCCAGCCGGGACCCCGCGGGACCCCGCAGGACCACACACCCTAGCCAGGACCCCCACACAGGACCCCAACACCCCAGGACCATTAACCCCAGCCAAAATCCCCTCCAGAACTATTGACCCCAGCCAGGACCTCCCACCCCCTGGGACCACAGACCCCAGCCAGGATCCTCCCCCCCTCCAGGACCACACACCCCAACCAAGACACCCTTCCACCACCAGGACCACACACCCCAGCCAGGACCACACACCCCAGCCAGGACACCCTCCCACCACCAGGACCACAGACCCCAGCCAGAATCTCCCACCACCAGGACCACAGACCCCAGCCAGGATGCTCCACAGGACCACAGACCTCAGCCAGAACTCCCTCCCCCAAGGACCACAGACCCCGGCAGGGATCCAACACACACTCCCACCAGGACCACAGACACCAGCCAGGACTTCTGCAGAACTACAGACCCCATCAGGGACCCCCACCACCACAGGACCACCAAACCCAGCCAGACCCCACCAGGGACCACAAACCCCAGCCAGGACCACCCCAGTACCACAGACCCCAACTAGGACCCCATCAGGATGACAAAACCTCACCAGGACACCCCCAAGACCACAGACCTTTGCCAGGATCCCCCTGAACCACAGATCCCAGCCAGCACCCAACCTAGATCCACAGACTCTTCCCAAGAATCCCTCCTAGGACCCAGACCCCTGCTGGGACCACATCCAAGACCACAGATTCCCCCACTGGGGTACCCCCAGACCACAGACCCCCTCCAAGAACCCCACCAGAACCACAGACCTCCACTGGGACCCCCACCAGGATCACAGGCTCCTACTGGGACCCCCTCCAGGACCACAGACCTCCACCTGGACTCCCTAGGACCACAGATCCTCCCAGCCTCTTCCCGCCCCCCACAAGGACCACAGTCCACTGGGGCCCCCACCACCAGGACTCCTCTCCAGGATCATAGACTCCTACTGGGACCCCATCCCAGGACCTCCTCCTCCACCAGAAACTCCCCAGCACTGCAGGCCAAACCCCCTAACCCCAGGACCACAGACCCCAGCCAGCACCCCACGAGACCACACACCCTAGTCAGGACATCCCCCAGGACTACAGATTCCAGCTGGGACCACCTCCCCAAGACCCCACACCCCAGCTGGGACCCCCCACCCTAGCCAAGACCATGGAACCTCATTCAGACCCCAGCCAGGACCTCTACCGTGGGACCAAGATCCCCCACCCAGAGTCCGCAGGGGACCGGGGCCACTACGGGCGCCATACTCCCCCAGCTGGACCTTAGCCAGAATCATGGGTCCCCACCCAGACCCACACCAGGATTGTGGGGCAGGACTCCCACAGAGGACTCTGGACAACTGCAAGGACCATGCACCCCACACCCCACTTCCTACTGAGACCACAGACCCTGCCCCAAGCACGGACCACACACCCCAGTTCCTACTGAGACCACAGACCCCACCCCAATTCCTGCCAGGCCACACACACCACCCACCAAACCCATCCCTACACTGCCCTGCGCCCCGCAATCCTTCAGGGACCACAGACCCCCACCCTGGCCCCTGCAGAGAACTCCAGACTACCTCAGGGACCACGAACAACCCCCTTCGCCACCCTGATCCCTACTGGGACAGCAGACCTGTACTCAGACCTTGGGTGGGAACCCCAGAAGACCACAGACTTACCTGGACTCCTTCAGGGAACCCCAGAGCACCATAGAACCCCCACCCAGACCCTTACCAGGGACAGGCTGAAGCCCACAAGGGCCCCCCACCCAGAGTCTTACCAAGGACAGGCTGAACCCCCCATGGACCCCCCACCCAGACCCTTACCAAGGACAGGCTGAACCCCACAAGGGCCCCCCACCCAGACTCTTATCAGGGACAGGCTGAAACCCACATGGACCCCCCCACCCAGACTCCTGTTGGAATTCATGGATTCCCCCACCAAGACTCACACTATGACCCATAAGGACACACCCAGACCTTCACCCCACCACAACCCTCCCAGTCCCACACCCGGTCCTCCAGAGGACCCCAGACCTGGCATCCGGGACTCCACACAGATCATAGCACCTGCTATGTTTAGAGGCAGGAGCCTTGGAGAGCCAGAGCGACACCATTTTAATCAACTCCGTCTTAAAAACCAGGAAGTCACATTCCTTGCCAGCCATGGCCTGTGGTCATGAGCTGTTTACGACAGAAGAAATGGCTTAATAATGCCTTCCAGGACAAACACATGTACACAGACGACAGCAGAATGTCTGGATATCACCATATCGCCTGACCACGTGTGCTTTTAAAGATAATTACAGTCATGCTTTAACATGCTTGGCCACGAAAATATAAAGGGTGGCTGTAAATCAACAAAGGAATGAATGTCACCCCGTCAGCTTACCTGCATGGACCGTAACCTAGCTTTTACATAGATAAGACAGACCCCTTACAAGAGAACTTTAAAACAAAGTCAACGTATTACACCTCTGTAATGGAATCGTTTTCTGTTTGTTTGTTCTTGAGATGGAGTCTCGCTCTGTTGCCCAGGCTGGAGTGCAATGGTGCAACCTCAGCTCACTGCCACCTCCACCTCCAGGGTTCAAGCTATTCTCCTCTCAGCCTCCCGGGTAGCTGGGATTGCAGTATGCACCAGCACGCACAGCTGATTTTTGTATTTTTAGTAGAGATGGGATTTCTCCATGTTGGCCAGGCTGGTCTCGAACTCCTGACCTCAGGTAATCTGCTCACCTCTGTCTCCCAAAGTGTTGGAATTACAGGCATGAGCCACCACACCAGCCTGTAATTGAATAGTTTCTAATAAACTAAAACTTTCCTGTATTCTTTTTTTTCTTGAGACAGAGTCTCACTCTATCACCCATGGTAAAATCCCAAATTTGTGTGTTTTCCTTTATTCTTTGTACTGTCGTGGCAAGATGGCTAGCAAGGGTCCCCTTCCTGCAGTCCAGGAAGCAAAAATTGCATTGCTGAACGATCCTTTGTCTCAGTGCTGATTCTTCTTTGCAGCACCGAGCATTTATTTCCAACAGACAGCACGGGTGGCAGGTGCTTCGTAGAGGGATTTAACCCTGCTGGAAGAGAGAAGGGTATTGCCGGCATGGGAGCCTCGTCCTTCGAGCTTCTGGTTGACCCAGGGCCAACTTTCCACTACGTATTCTAAGCTGAGTGTCAGGAGCTCCTGAAACTCTTCAGGGTTCACAACCACGCTTTCTGTTAATGTCCCTCAAATCAGAAAATAATATATGTATATAATAACAATAATGAATATAAATCATGCACACAGTCCAGAAAATACGTCTTTTTAGCAGCACAGTCGTAAGATATATGAGGTCTCAGTCTGTTGTTCAGGCTGGAGTGCGGTGGTGCAATCTCAGCTCACTGC